AGTGGGGATAAAAAGAAACAAGCCTCTCTATATCTCAAAGAAGTGGTTAGAGATAATAAAGTTTTTTTCGTGGGATTATTAGAAACTAAAATTTCTAATTTCAGTAGATTGGAAGTCAATTCTCTAATTGGAGAGGATTGGGAATTTTTTCAAGTCCCATCCAACGGTTTGTCAGGAGGTATCATCATTTTATGGAGATTAAATATTGTATCATTTTCTATTGTGGACTTCTCTCAACAAGTGGTAATTGGAGACCTTCAGATTCAGAACAAAGGTCTTTGGAGGGTTGCGGCGGTGTATGGAAGTAGGGAGGTTGTTCAGAGAAGAGCTCTTTGGGATAAATTGGAAGAATTCTCTACTATCAATATCCATATGGCAATTGGGGGAGATTTCAATTTTTTGTTGTCAAAGGAAGACAAAAGAGGTGGAAAAAGCTTCAGGTTTTCTATTGCATCTAAGGAAATGAAAACTTTCTTAGTTAATAATGATTTCCATGAAATCAATTTCGTTGGACCAAAATTTACTTGGTGTAACAATAAAATGGGTGGAGCTAGGATCTTGGAAAGATTGGACAAATGTTTCTTAAATTCTGAAGCTTTGAAATCTTCCAATCAGATGGTGATTAAACACATTGTGAGAGTGGCCTTGGACCATTGTCCAGTTTTACTCAACTTTTTGGAGGAAAGTTTCAAATCAGAAAAGATCATCAAATATGAAGAAGTCTGGGCATCATATCCGGCTACAAAAGGTATTATTAAAGCTTCCTGGAATAAGAAATCCAAAGGGGATTTTGTTGAATTATTAAATATTAAATTCAAAAGAATAATGATAGCTTTATATCATTGGAGTAAATCTAAACATAAGAAGTATGAAATTCAAAGAGAAGAGCTTAAAACAGAAATTTAGGAATTACAGATGAAAAAAGCTAAGATAGGATGGCTTTTGGAAGAAGACAGATGGCGTCTCAATTCAAAAGTTGCTAAATTGAACTCTTTTCTAGCACGGTTTAACTCTTGGTGGAAATAGAGATCTAAAATTAACTGGATGTCGGATATGGATAGCAATTCAAAGTTTTATCACTCGTTTGCCTCATCCAGAAGATACATGAATGGAATTGTTAAAATTCGTGATGAAGATGGGAGGGAGATGGAAAAACAAGATCAGATTTCTGAAGTTCTTTTAAAATTCTTTAAAAGAAAATGGAAGTATAGAAGCTGCTGTGTCAATGGGTGGCCAAAACCAAACTGTTTGATGGACGAGAATGATAAAAATCATTTAATGAAAGATCTTGTGTTTGAAGAAGTGGAAGAGGTGGTATTTAATTCCAAGCCTAATATCTCTCCTGGGAATGACCGTATTTCATATTCTTTTATGAAAAAATTTTTGGTGCTACTACGGCCTTTCTTATGGCTTGCTGAGTAGATGGAGCTGCTAGCGATCCGGCCATATTTGGGCTTGTTGGATCCAACCTTTTACACCCATTCGAACCTTAAGCTTTAGGCTATCAAAAGACTTCAAGCTTTTTTCGGCTCAATTTTGTAAGAGTGTGTAGTTTCAAAAGTCTCTTTCTTGACTTTTGAGTCTTAGTTTGTTGGAGAAGGTGTCTCGATCTTTTGAAAGATCACCTGCATAGACTTTGAGAAAGAAATCTTTGTATTCTTTAGCACAAAATAGCATTTGAATTGATAATTTTAAATATTTATTCGGAGATCTCGGCACGTAGCGCGATGTCGACCCGAATAAATATTTAAAATGCCCCCTGTCTCGTAGGGACATTTTAGAGCAGAATAGATTTGGAATCTTGAAATTTTAAATATTTATTCGGGGATCTCGGCACGTAGCGCGATGTCGACCCGAATAAATATTTAAAATGCCCCCAGTCTAACAGGGGAATTTTGAAATGTATTCTCGTGACATAAGAGAATTTCAAAATATGAAATGCATGTGCTAACAATAATGTATGAAAACATAATACATTAAGAACGATATTTCCTTGAAGAATTTCATGCGTAATATTTCTTCAGGTATCGGCCATTGATCGGCGACATGGGCCTCTGACCATTCAGATCGATGAGTTGATAAGCTCCTCCTTGAAATATGTTCTCGATGACGAAAGGTCCTTCCCATTTGGATACAAATTTGCCACCAATTTTTCTATGTGGGATGATTGGCATTCTCTGCACCAGGACCAATTCTCCTTCTTGAAATGATCGAGGACGAACCATTCGATCAAAGGACTTTGTCATTCTTTCTCGGTAGATCTCCAGGTTCTGCTGAGCTTGCAACCTGAGTTCATCGAGTGCATCAAGCTCTTCCATTCTTAATCGAGCATTTTGTTTTTGAGTCAGCTCATTCTGGACAGCAACTCGAAGAGATGGAAGTTCAACTTCTAGTGGCAGTACGACCTCAACTTCGAACACTAGAGAGTAGGGAGTAGCTTTAGTTGGTGTTTTATAAGTTGTACGATAGGCCCATAGAGCTTCTTTGCCATCTTCGTATGCCACTCTCTTTTGTTCTTGGAGAGAATCTTTTTTAGCAATTTCACCAACGTTTTGTTGAAGGCTTCAGCTAGGCCATTTGCTCTTGGATAGTAAATGGAAGTGTACCGCCAATCAATTTTGTGCCGATCAACGAACTTGTAGATTTTTGTACTCTTGAAAGCAGTTCCGTTGTCTGAGATTATGCGGCGTGGCACATCGAATCTGTAAACAACATTATGGGTGAAGAAGTTGATCACGTGCTCGGACGTAACTTCTTTAAATGGAGCCGCTTCTGCCCACTTGGAGAAATAGTCGGTTGCTGCCAAGATGAAGCGGTGTCCTGCTGATAACGGCGGATCTATTGGCCCGATAACATCAGTACCCTAACATTCGAACGGCCAGGATGCTATTGTAGGGTGCAGAGGATTTGGCGGTTGATGTATAACATCACCATGGATCTGGCACTCATGACACTTCTTAACGTGATTGATACAATCTCTGACCATGGTCGGCCAATAGTAGCCCATTCTTTTGATTTTGACTGTCATCTTGCGACCTGATTGGTGTGCTCCACAAAGTCCTTCGTGAACTTCTGCTACCACTTTATCAGCTTCTCGAGTCCCTAGTCACCTTAGCCACACTTGATCGAGAGCCCGCCGATACAATGTGTTGTTGACAAATGCATATCGTAGCGCTCTCTTCTTGATTTGAGTAGCTAGTGATTTGTCTGTTGGCAAATTACTTTCTTTAAAGTAATCAATGAAAGACAGTCTCCAGTGATCTTCTTCCTCGACATCTAGGCAATGCCACCATGATTCTGAAGCTTGACTAGCTTTAAGTCTTTTCTTAGGAACTTGTTGTTCTTCAGACTGATCTTTAACATCAACTGGTTGGGGAGATTGAGGATCAACCGGAGTTGCATCCTGCTGGCTTGAATTTGGTATTCCCTCTGCCTGCGAGAATTGTAGTAATGCTGGCTCTAGGATCCGACGCTTGTGAACCATAATCATTATAGGCCATTCGTCATCCATATTCCCCATTTCTTTAGCCAATTTGGCAAGAGAATCAGCTTTGCCATTTTGACCTCGGGGAACTTGAGTTAATTTAACAACTAGAATTTGCTTCATTAGCCCAAGAACTCGCCGATGATAATAGGCTAATTCAAACTTAGTGATTTTGTAAACTCCCAACACTTGATTTACAACAAGTTGAGAATCATCGAAAATTTGGAGGTTTCGGATTCGGACATCGATTGTAATCTCCAATCCTGCTATTAGGGCTTCATATTCGGCTTCATTGTTTGTCCGAGGTTCAGTTAAACTGAATGAGAATCTCATTATGCCTCCCTCGGGTGCCACGAAAATGAGTCCGATTCCGGCTTGATCTTTCTCTATATTTGGAGGCTGAGCACGCTTAATCGACGATGCTCCATCAAAGTACATTTCCCATACTCGTAGCATCTCCTCTTCTTCAACATTCATGATCTATTTGTCAGGTAGATCGTCGTTAAGTGGTGAATCCACAGGAATAGGATGTGCAGCGAGAAAATCTGCCAACACCTGCCCTTTCACTGCCTTTTGAGGGACATATGTGATATCAAACTGCAGGAGTATCACTGCCCACCTTGCCAAATGACCTATCAATGCTGGTCTTGTCATCAAACTTCAGCGGATCGATCTTTGATATCAAGGTGATTTTGTGAGATAGCATATAATGGCGAAGCTTTTGAACTGCAAAAATTAGGGCCAAGCAATGCTTCTCAATTGGAGAGTAGCGGATTTCTGCTCCTATCAACCTCCGATTGATGTAGTAGAGTGCATTCTCTTTGCCTTCTTCATTATGCTGGGCCAATAGTGCTCCGAGGGACTCTTCTAGTGCTGCCGTATACAGTATAAGAGGCTTCCCGGGGATTGGCGCCGCAAGAATGGGAGGATTCAACAGATATCTCTTGATGCTGTCAAATGCTTCTTGGCACTCTTCATCCCATTTGAATTGGACATCTTTCTTCATCAGCTTTGAAAATGGCTGGCACCTACCCGATAGATTTGATATGAATCTCCGAATGAAAGCCAGTTGACCTTGCAGGGAACGGAGTTGTCGGAGGCTCTTTGGAGGTGGCATCTCCATGATTTCCTTGATCTTGTTGGGGTCGACTTTGATGCCTTGATGTCGAACAACGTATCCCAAGAATTTGCCGGATGAGACCCCGAATGCACACTTAAGAGGGTTCATCTTCAGATCATACTTTCTGATCCTCTCGAACACAATTCTCAAATCATCAATGTGGTCTTTTCGATCCATGCTTTTAATGACCAAGTCATCTACATAACATTCGACCTTTTGATGGATCAAATCATCAAATATATGAGTCATCTCTCGTTGATAAGTGGCACCAACATTCTTCAGGCCGAATGTCATAACTGTGTAGCAGAATATGCCTATGGGTGTTCTGAATGATGCATGTCTTTCATCTCCAGGTGCCATTTTGATTTGATTGTAGCCTGACGATATGTCCATGAATTAGAACTTTTCGTAGTTGGAAGTATTGTCAACGAGAAGTTCTGATACTGGGAGTGGAAAGTCATCTTTCGGACACGCCTTATTGAGGTCCCTGAAGTCGATGCAGATACAAATCTGGCCATTCTTCTTCTTTACAGGGACGATATTAGCAATCCAGTTGGCATATTTCTTTTCTCGGATGAAGCCTTCTTCTATGAGCTTTTTAGTTTCTGCAATCACCTGCTCTTCAATCTCCAATCTCATTCTTCTTGGAGCTTGTTTGACGGGTACTACATCAGGCTTGATTGCTAATCTGTGAACTGCCACATCAGGGGATAAGCCAGGCATCTCAGCATATGTCCAAGCAAAACAGTCACTGAATTCACATAGGAGCTCTTTTATTTCTTCTATTTGATCTTCTGGTAGAAGAGAGACAACAAAAGTTGGGCGAGGGTCTTCCTCAGTTCCCAAGTTGACTTCTTTTAGCTCGTCCATCGTAGCAGCCTGTCCACCGTCTTCCAGTTCTTCTGGTGCAGGCTCAGCTTCTACGGGTTTATCATTGTAATCATCAGCTTCGCGTGTCTCTTCAACACCGCCTTCTTCAGGTTCAATTTCCATGTATGTGATCGCCCGACAAGTCTCTTTTTGGAGGAATTTTCGTTTGATGAACCCGATGCCTTTATATGCATCTATATCCTTTCGTCGTAATGGACGCGGACTTCTCCCATACCAGAGGCCCAAGCTTGTACGGAGCTGTCGTTTGGTAGTAGGAATATTGATTTGCTTTCGTAGCATTCTTCGAATATTCTTGGTATTGAACTTGGGTAGCCTCATAGGAAATAATTCTTCGGAGTCGAGGAGCATGCAATCCCAATCATGATTCTCCTCTTCACAAACTCCCGTGGAATATAACACATTCCCAGGTGCAGTCCCCTTCTTTAAAGGAGGCAGATAAAGAGTGGAAAGTTCTTCAATCTTATGCACCTCACGTGAAATGATTTCTTTGAAGTGTTGCAAGGGAACGCGTGTGACTATGAGTACGCTATCTAAAATTGACAGACTATCTATTCTTCTGGAGAACACACTCTGCACCGAGTTCATGTAGATTGAGTCGTAGTCATAATCATCATTTGAAAATTCAACCTGCCTACTCCATTTATCCGTGGACTTGCACACTTTTTGAGATTTAGCAGGAGCAACATCATCTTTATCTGTGTCACTTCCAAGATGAGGTACATGTTTCTTTTCTTTAGGAATGATTGGTGATTTGGGAAGAACCGGCGCTGCCTTCTTTCTCACCACCTGCTTCTTCTGACCTTCTTGCTTGGGGTTCTTTGCAGTCTTAGAATTTGATGCTCTAGCCTCAAGAGAACTTGACGACTTTTGCTTCTTTGGCATGAAGTACTTAGCATCTTCATAAATTGTTACTTCATGTACTGCAAAGGGCTGAATATCACCAGAAATTCTGAATTCTTTGCCTTCCTTTAGATATTTCATACACTGGTGTAATGTTGAAGGGACAACGCCGTATTCATGCATCTAGGGACAACCCAATAATGCCTTGAACAAAGTGTCTGCATCAATCACATGAAATTTGGCTTATATATAAGGTTCTCCAAATACAAGAGGTAGCATAAATGATCCAAGGGTTTTCTGCCCTTTCTCATTGAAGCCGTGTACCATCAACTTATCTTGCCCAAGATGTTCCACATCAAGACACAACGATCTCAATGCTTTCAAGCTCATGAGATTTACGGAAGATCTGGGATCGATCAAAATCCGACTGATCATCATACCATCGCTCTCCGCCATAACATGCAAAGGGCGATTGTGATCTGCCGTTCCAAGCATCATATCATCCTCGGCAAAGGTGATAAGGGGCTCATTTCAAGCTTGTAAGACTTCCGTCAAGTTGCGTTCAACAAAATATGCCTCATATCTTTCGGGGTCCTTGAGAGCTTGAATCAAAGTCTCTCGAAGGTCTTTAGACATCAAGAGGGCGTCTTATATATTGAGTTATGCTGGGATCTTCCTCAAGTGGGATAAGATATTGTAATCTATCCCCTTGGACAAAGTATTATTTTTCTTGGGACCTTTGGGGATAATATCTTCATTGATAACTATTTCTTTTCCCTTATCTTTATTAGGAGCTCCTTTCTTTGGTGGAGGTGGTAGTACTTTGCCACTCCTCAACTGCACCTGGGCCACCTCATCTGATTCAGACTTGTTTGATGAAGCATTCTCTTCAGAGTCAGATATTATAGTGTCTGGGGATTCATCTGTAGACTCAGAATCGTCTCCCAACTTTACTTGTTTCATTTGCGATCCTATGCTTGGGTCTGAATCTTCATTATCGGGAAAACATAGATCATCTGAATTGAATTCCATTGATGATACCATTAGATAGAATTTAGGGGCCGCTTCTTCAGCGTATTTCTCCCATCTGATATCTCTGATGTCATAAAGATGACTCGGCATATTTTTATAGGAAGAGATTCATGTTAAGATAGTTGCTATTTGCATGCATTACATTTTTGCAACTTATGAAGTTTTGATGATTCCAAACATTATTGTTTAAATGTGTAGTTATCTCCTAACATTTTTGGAAAAATTGTATTTGCTCTTGTGTGTACTAACATTTCAGGGAAAGAACTCCAGACTACGAAGGCTTCAAATTAAAATCAGCATGAGATACCTTGAAATTTTTGAAGCTTGCACTTTGCTTAGAAATCAAATTGAAAGGGAGTGATTGTAACTTGAGTGAATAAAAACATGCACACACAAATAAGGAGATCATATTAAATTTGTATTGATCGTACAGGACAATTTTCGTTCGTACTGGACGATCAGAAAGTTATCTCCTATAGATGCATCTGAACGAATAGGAACTTGCTCGAAAAATTTTCTAAGTCCTATTCGTCCAGGACAAATTAATTATCGTACAGTACGATTGGCACTCCGGAAAATTTTTGTTCAGACGAAATTAATTATCGTACAGTACGATTGGCTCTCTGGAAAATTTTCGTCCAGACGAAATTAATTATCGTACAGTACAAATGGCTCTCTGGAAAATTTTCGTCCAGACGAAATGATATATCGTACAGGACGATCTGTCCTCTATAAAAAATTCGTCTAGACGAATCAATTTTCGTCCAAACGATTAATCGACTTAGGACAGTTTTCAGCAGTTTCTAGATTCGACCTTGTAATAACCGTTTGTACTGGACGAACTTTAGTTCGTACAGACGATCAGCTGTACGAAGACATTTCGTACACATATTCAAATAGGGTCGTTTCAGATCGTTTAAGTAAATTGTCCAGGATGATCCACGATCGTACAGGACGATCCAATGCGTACAGAATTGATACTTGCAGTTTTTGGGCGGTTTTTCTTGTTTTTGTATAAATAGCCCAAATTAGACTGCCACCAAAATCTTTTTGTCATTTGATCTTCGTGCCACTTGAGAGAATAGCAAAGGGAGAGTTGAAGAAAGCATTCAAGGGAGGATTCCTACCATAGAAGCAAGAAGGCTTCACTTGGATTTCAAAGGTAAGAGTCTCTACTTGTGAATTGGGATTACTTCACTCTTTTTCTTTCTTCCTTCTAGATTCTTGTGAGAAGATCTGTCAAGGAGATCCGGTTCTCTGCCGACACTTGGAGAGTGTGAAAGGACGAAGGGTTCTCTGCCCACACTAGGAGAGTGTGAAAGGACGAAGGGTTCTCTGCCCACACTAGGGAGAGTGTGAAAAGGACCGAAGGGTTCTCTCCACACTAGGAGAGTGTGAAAGGACGGACGATTCTCTGCCAACACTGGGTATTGTGTAAAAGGATGGACGGTTCTCTGCCGCGACCGGGGAGTGGTGAAAAGAGTGTGTTGTAAAGGCTTCTCCCCTTGCTGTGGGTGCAAAAGGAGAGTCACTATTGATCATTAGTGCAATACTCAGAGGGTGCCTCTGGGGAGTGGATTAGGTTCTGGTTATAGACTGAACCACTATAAATCTGGTGTCATTTACTTTACTGTTTTTACATTTCCGCACTTTCTATTTCAGTTTTAAAAACTCTGTGGTTGAAAAATCTTTTTCTACAAAATTAAAAGAGATTTTATTTCGGTTCAATAATTTTTTTAAAAAAGGGGGTCTTAAATTTTAACCTTTTTTAAAATACCAATTCACCCCCCCTCTTGGTAGCCTTGGGACACTCACTTATGTTTAACAACCTAATTACTAGATTCAACAATTCAGCCTCAGCTTCTTCTTCCTTTTTATCTATTTAAACTCTTTCATAAAATCACCGAGCTTAATAGGCCTCCTGACTTTGACTTTCCAGATTTTGATGAGCTGGCCTGGCTAGATTGCTGTTTAGAGGTGGATGCTTGTGACATAGGCAACCATTTTAAGTTCAGTACCGGCTCAGTAGGAGACTTCCACTTGACACCTGGAACTTCTTCCAGCTGTTTCAACATTTTAGTTGTCTTCTTGGAGACAACGGTCTCCTATTGCTTCTCTTGGAAATATTCTTTTGTTGTTGTTTCTTTAAGCGAGAGCACGGAAGAGGACGTGACTACCCGGGTGGATTCCTTTCTGGGACGAACTAACACATTATCTGATAAGGTCAATTCTCCCATTATATATTGTTTTTCCAGCCAATCTTTGAAGACATAATAATCTTCAATCGGATGGCTAACCACCCGATGATACGGGCAGTAATTTGGGTCGCCACTGTGTTTGGACTCTTCAGGTCTTTTGCATTCTGGCAACTCCAGACCAGCTTTGAGTGCTTGTCGGAATAGCTTGGCGACACTTTCCCTCTTGAACAAATATTCTTTATTCATTTTCTCCTTGAGGGAGGTGAACGTTCTATCACCAATTCCCATAGTTTGCCTCTGGTGCTCTCCTCCACCAGGAAAGGCTCGAGGTTTGTCATTTCCTCCAAGTACCAGCTTTGGCTGAGGATTTGAATTGTAAGCCTGCTTTGGCTTTTCTTCATATTGCATTGGTTGTTTTCCTTTATCCACATTATACACTACCCGTTTACCTTTATCAAGTCTGGGAGGAAATACAGAGTAGACCTCATTCTTTCTGGCATCAGGAGCTTTAGCCTTTTTGAATTTATCAGGGAAGCTTTCAGACTTTGATAAGTTTAACTTCTCAAATTTCGCCACCCTGTCCAACAGATCCTGGAAGGTAGTGATTGAAGCCATGCATAAGAAGGGTTGCATTTTATCATCAATATTCCCCATCAACAATTGGACTGCATGCTCTTCTTCCAGCTGCTGCACGCACTTCATGCTGAGATTACGCCAGTGTATTATATACCTTGTCACTGATTCGTCTTTTCTCCTTTTATCAAGGGCAAGATCAGCGATAGTAGTCTTCTCTATTGCACTGGCAAATCTTTTCACGAACAAGGCCTCCAGTTCCGCAAAGGTCTTCAGTGAATCATTCGGCAGTTCAGCATACCATTCGAAAGCAGTTCCACTCAAGCTGCTCACGAATTGCCTGAATAACAGAGCATCATTGCCTCCTGTATTTCCACAGGTTGCTTTGAACTGCGCCAGGTGTTGTCTGGGATTTTTATTGCCATCAAAGATATTGAACTTTGGCACAGAATATCCCTTTGGATACGGCACCTGATCGTACTCTGCTGGGTACGGGCGACCTTTTCCTACCAACTTCTCTGCTTGTTCAGCAGCTATAATGGCCTTAATCTTTTCACTGATTAAGCCTTCCAACAGCGATGCAGTTACGGGTTCAGAGGCGCTCGCCACATTTTGTGGAGTACGCTGGCGGGTTGGATTATCAGTTTTATCGCCACCTTCAGGTATACCTTTCACTCCTGAGGCTTGAGGCGCTTGAGGGTTTTGAGAATTAGTAGCTTGGTTGACGGGTTGAGCCGGTGCAGGCCCTACAGAAGTGGTCTTCTGCATCATTTCCATCATGGCCGTCATTTGAGTCATCATCTCAGTCATTTTATCATTTAACTGAGAGATTTCTCTATATTTCCTTCGCATCTGTCGCCTCATTTGATTTCTCATTTCAGCGAGTGTGATGTCTTCGCCGGCGAAGGGATTTTCTCCGACCTCTTCTTTTTCCTCATCAACTTCTTCTGAGGAGCGAGCACTTTGGCTGGCAATAGATCTAGCCCTGTGACGACGTTGATAAACACGTACGCGTGGCTGTGATTGTTGGTCTTCTTCATCACCATCATCATCTTCTTTTTCAACATCGACGTGGCTAACCATACGAACCACCTCGATCTCCATAGTGTCATCATCGTCATATTCTTCTTCATCTTTTTGCACCTGAATTTCTGAGCGACGGTGCCACTGAATTTCAGGTTCTTGATTTGGGATGACTATTTCTTCAACCCGTGGACTACGATCGAAATGAAGATCCTCTTTGGTTGAAGTAGGAGAATGACGGGATCTCCTGGAAGACTCTCCAGGATGTCGACCATCAATATAATTGTTGTCATTTTGGGCCTTCTTTTGGACCCATATCTGACGAGTTCTATTGGCAGGGGCGAATCTCCAGGAGAGTGCTCTAGATGTCATGCCTGATCTATCTTTTTCTTTAAATATCTTTTCGTTTCGAGGCTTCGGCCTCCAAACTTATTTGCCTTTCCGCTGGGCCCTTTCGGCGGCGGATTCTTGGACATATGGTCCAAGTGTCACACCCCGATGTGCTTCCCGTGGAACTTGGCATTGGTAATTTCTTTGTTTGGCTATCACAACAGATGATAGCCTCTCTCTTGGAGGAGTTCTTCGGGTCTCAACAATCAGTGGCCTTTGGAACTTCTTTTTCATTAAGCCCTTCTCCTTGACTGTCTTCAGTACATGGTGTACCCGGGCAGA